GTGGTTATTTCTATACCCAGTATTCTTAAATGATGAGAAAAAGCATATCTAGTTTTAGTCAACACTACTGTGTTCTACCTAGAAGTACTCAAGGAAAGAAAGCTTCTCTTCCATAATCTTCACATGGAGTCCCAGTCTTCATTCTCATCTTTGAAGTAGATTTCTGTGCAGAACGGCCACCTTGATCAACTAGGCCATTTGAGAGCCTTGCTAAGATTAGCAACAGCTGGTACTCACACAGTGTGCAACAAGAAGCCCTCTGCTGTTGTCCAATAGTATGCTGCCCAGCTATATTACTTGGGTTTTCCCAAAATCACTTTTTCACAACTTATAGAGACATTCATATCCATTGAAGACACTTCAAAGCCCAAGGAAAGAGAGATCAACTGTAAAAGTGTGTGTAGAGTGATGAGACCTGTGTGTAGCTGTCGCAGGGGAGCATCCATCTAAGACTTGGATGGAGACTGCAGCTGGCAACACCCCTATTACGCCTGTTTACTCCCTGGCCTGTCCCTATTGTACTTTGAGTCACTATACTTCTTAAAATCTGGTTACTAATAACAAAGATGAATCACCTTCTCTCTCTCTTCCCTGCCTTTTTAATAGGCTGAGAAGAGGTGGCCACATAAATGATGGAAGCAGTAGAGCTGGTTTTGCTTTCTCATCCTTAGCCTGAGAAGATGCCTGGTCCCAATTACCCAGGATCTTATGTAAGTGGAACATTTGTCTCTCCAAACATAAATGCAAGATTCACCAACAGGAAGTAGTTAACTGAATCCAATAAGATTACAGGCCATGATCAAGTGTATTTTCCCCAGGAAAGTGTGCTTTATTTAATATCCAATGTTCATATTAATAAAAGAAAAGAAAAAAAGTACTTTACAAAAGTGCCATTAAAATTCTCCACGAGTTGACGATAGAAAAGGATATATTAAGGAGCATTTAGAAAGGTACGTTTCAATATTGTGAAACCCACATGAAACTAATTAGAACAATACATGAGTATATCAACATGGAAGATTATAAACAATATGTGGACATGTCATAATTATGTAAGTACATAATAAACAATCAGGAGTGAGGAAAGTCTCACCTCTGGCAGTATCAGAGAGTCAAGGCAAGTTCAACAGAAGGAGGCATGGGTGCTGAATACATGTATTTGTCATATATAAATATTTATAAAAGAAAGGAAATTTTTAAATAAGGAAGAGCTATTTAACATTCATAGATTAGAAGACTCACTAGTGACAGTGGCAACAAGAATCAATGGAACAGAACTAAGAGCACAAAGCAAAAATTTATACCTTTAATCAATTGATTGTTTAAATGAAGATGTCAAGAAATGTCTGCATCAAGGAAGTTACCTTTTTAAAAAAATGAACAATTTCCTTTTTACTTAAATAAAGTAAACTCAGGCCCTAACCTGGCTACCCATAACACACATACACACATAACACACATAACACACATGGGGAAATCCAAGATGGCAGCGACAGGCACACATCGTATCTGAGGGGCAGAGGATCTGAAACTCTGAAAGTGATGGGTGGAGGGGCAGCTGAACCTAAAACAATGACTTTGAGGCTTCCGGGAAGAAAGGGGACAAACCCTGAACTGAGACCAATAGGATACAGTGGACCGCGGACTTCTCCATGCACTTCTCCATGGACTTCTCCTGGGGACTCAATTCCCAGGCACTTCCCACTTAATGGGCAGCCACAAAACTTCTAGAATAAAACAGAAGGCAGTATTTTTTTTCTTTGCTTAGGGAAAGAAATCTTAGATGTGATACAAACAGTGTATCACATGAGCTGGTCCCTGATCACACTTTCCAAGATGAAACTACAAGCCAGGCGTGGTAGTGCATGCTTTATTCCCAGTGTGCAGTGAGCAGTGGGCATCAGTACTATGTAGAAAGGAAAGAAAGAAAGGAAGAAAGAAAGAAAGAAGGAAGGAAGGAAGGAAGGAAGGAAGGAAGGAAGGAAGGAAGGAA